AGCATCTCAAATTCCATCAGTGAGTTCAACTACGACCCAATATCTGGTCTCGTATTTGATGCATGGTTCAATCGTTATGAAGACGTTTTCCGTATTGAATGCTACATGTTTGATGATGCTGCCAGAGTCCGATTGTTACTAAGAAAACTTGGCACTGTTGAGCACAACAGATATGTTAACTTCATTCTGCCTAAGAACCCACGACCTTTCACTTCATTACATATCCTTTTGCAGAATTCTACACCAATCAGATATATCGTCGTCCGTTCGCTAGAAGATGACACTGTAGTCGCTATCCCAAACACTTGGGTTGTGCGAAGTTGTTTATGTGCGTACAGCAGCACAGCAAACCATCTAGAGCCTGTGTTTACCGGGGCTGGATGGTCAGTGTTTGAATTCCGTCAACTGCAGGAATTTGGTAAGTTGGCATATTTCATAATCACCCTTCTAGATACGTATGAGAATTGTAAAAAGGGTGTAGAGCTTTTGAGAAGCAATGATCAAGGCACCAAGAAGGTAGACATGGACGATGATACGTTGCCAATGCCTAGTAAGAGACCGAAAAGGTAGGTACCGTTTTCTGTCTAACATATTTTTCAGGGATGCCAAGAAAACAGAAGAATTTCCTTTACAACTCTATGGATATTGATGTAGCCGCCAGTGAAGTTGGTTGCATAAAATCACAATATCTAGATTATAATACATTTGATGACTTCGTAGCCCCAATTCCAAGGTATTAACCTAATTAAAAGCTCTTCATTTTCAGTACTTCCAGTGCTCCCATATTCCATTCTTCCTCTCCTATTGGCAAAAACACAACTGTATCTGACCGGTAGGAATAATTGTTACAATTTTTATTCGTGCTTTAGACTGCCGTCTAACGAAGATACCACTGATTCCAAAATTCAGAAAATACTCGGTAATTACTTAAAAATAATTATCTATTTAAAGATACAAATATGGAACTCATTAACCTGTGCACGAAAATGTTGAACATTATGACTATTGACAGAAAATCTCGACAACAAACCTCCCTTCCAGCAAACGATGACTTCACACTGCAGTTTCCGATCGAGAATGAAGACCACTTAGAGATGCTGGAAGCATCTTTAAGAGACGAAAAGTACAAACAGCAATATGTGAGTTGACATATTTAATTCTTATTTCTTGTAGACTGCTAAGATGGTTAGCTGCCTTCAGAGTGATCCAAAGTTATCACTTAAGGTCATGATGCACCATGTTCTAAAACCTGAAGTGGCTTTGAAGTTTACATTTCAGGGGACTTTGACAAAGTCCAGCATTGTGCCTTATACCTTTTATAAAATAATGAGATGTAAGGTTCATTTATAAAGTACTTAGTTCTTTAGATGTAATTATGGCGGAATTCTCCGGCCAACTAATGACGTCGAGAGAGGTTGGTGACATAATGGATAAGGCCACGAAATCGTACTTTCATAATTCGAAAGATCGTGTCCAAAGGCGTAACCTGAAGAAAGGAATTCAGGTAATATTGTGAAACGCCCGCTTTGTTTTATAAGTCAACGTTTATTCAACATGTAGTAATCACAACATTGTTTTCATTTTTAGGCAAATGAAAAAGATACCAGGGGATATAACAGTGGCAGTTATGTAAGTAAACTTTTATAAATGTAAATGCTTAGAATGTGCTGAGCACAATTTTTCATCAACTAATCTTTTATTTCGCTTATTTAAAGGATGCTACCAGTGGATCTCACTTGACGGAATTGCAGTGACATTGTACTACAGTTTATAAATACAAAAGTCTCTCAATTATAAAAACTGATTTTTTTCTGTAAACTAAATCAATTACGCCGGCGTAGGGCACAGGTGATGATCATAAGTAGCAGTCTTTTCGTTCTGAAGTAATACTAGTCAGTGCTGAATATGAGCTGCGAAGGCTTGAATTAAGCTGAAAAAATTGCCACTATGTGCTGAATTGCGTGTTTTCTACCTAGAGTAATGCCAGTCAGTGCTGAAAACGATCTGAAAGGGTTGAAATAAAGCTGATAAGCTAACCCAGTAGGTTCTGATCTACTTCTGAAAATGCCTAAGAAAGAACACGGTATTGAATTAGCGCTAGTCATGCTGAAAACCAGCACTGAGTTCTAGTCTGTGACATTAAACAATCCATTTCAGAACAGATTCAGAATTTACTCACTATAGGATGCTTGAATTTTTCAGAATTACTGAGATTTAATTCAGAATTATAGCAAGCTCCATATGGAGATAATAATCTCCATATCCATAAACGCATTAGTTTATTTTTATCTCTGGTTCCAATGGAATTTTCTTCTATGGTTATGCTTTAATCCTGTGGTCCCGATTCCTTTTTTAAAGGTATGCCCGTCAATTCCCAGTTAAAGAAGGAATGCAGTCCCAGTCAGAGAATGCATTTTGGTTATATTTGCTAAATGGGTAATTTTGATCGGCAAAGATGTGGGCAAAATGTGGTTAAAGTGCTACAGAATTAACTCTTTACATATATTGTCTATGTTTTCCTCGTTTGCCCATGTCCGGAAAAATTTTACTGTCCCACTGTTTCCTACCTAACCCATGTTACAGCCGAATACAGTCCACCCTCTCCCACTTTGCCCAAATTTGAACGCAAAACTTTCCACGTTTTTACCCACATAGCCCAGGCCCCCCCAAAAAATCACCGACGGGTGTGGTGACTACAAGGTATTGTTTCACAGCATTTTAACAAACCTGCGGGGTACGTCTAATCAATTTTTACTCATGTATATAAATGAATCAAAACGTGTGAGTGACTTGATATGATTATGAGCAATAATTTGTGTTCGAAACGTGGTCATCAGTAAATATTACTGTATGACACCGTGTGATTTTATCACATTGTCGCGCGGCAGCTGCTCGTAGTCTCATATCCTTATGGGCAACTCATAGAGCCTTTACTAGAATTCCCAGAGATATGTTCACCTCCTTATATACATCTCTGGTGAGGTCAAGACTGAAAAACTGTATCCAGGCAGCCAGTCCTCGTCTTAAAAGGAACCTACATATTCTAAAAAGGGTTCAAAGGAAGGCGACATGTATTATTCTCGGCATGACTAATTTATCATGAGAGGAAAGACTAGACATATTAATGTACGTGTGAAACTTGGGGACTGTGGTAGTAAGTAATTCCATATTAGTTTGTTTATTAGATGTATCACACAGCGAAACAGTATTATTTACTGGATGACGTTTCGAACAAAATTTATTGTTCATAATCATATCAATTATGATCACACGACTTTGAAACTTGAGTTTTAAAATTCAAACTAACATGGAAAGGCTAGACAGTTTAAATCTCTTCTCCCTATCATACCGTAGGCAGAGAGGAGATTTAATCACAAAGTTTAAAATTTTAAATAATAACTACGGACCTGATCTATTCTCTCTTTTCCTTCCCACCAGGTCGGAACACCTTAGAGGACATGGTAGGAGAGTTTGAAAGCCGAAGAGAAACTATATTTCTGTGGAGTACTGGTTCTGACACCGAGTCATAAACTCCTGCAACCGACTCCCAGAAAAAGTGGTGTCTGCAACCTCAACTGATTCATTCAAGAAGGGTTTGGACAAGCACGAAAATTTACTAGAAAAGGATTAGCATAGACCTCAAGCCGTCTATCCGCAATCAACAAATCTGAATCTGAAATTTCTGTAGCCACTTATGATAGAGATTTCTAAACACGCTATACTTCGGTTTCAGGAGTCTCAAATGGATACTTCCGATCACTTCACATAACAGTCGGCAATGCCATCTACCTACCCAATTTATGCAGTGTTGCATAAATTAGGAATTTTTTATTCTCATCTCTCAAATCAGAAGATACTTTTTAAGTATTTCAGAAATTAGAGAAGATTCGTAGCTCAGGTGATTGGTTTTGAATTAGTTGTGTTCCCTAAGTAGGTTGGCCTATTTATTTAGGGATTACGTGATTTTACTTGTAGTTTTTCTACCGATATTTTTGTTGTGCGATTTGTAGAAGTGGTATATGACCATAACTTGAAATATTTTGGTCTAACCGCAAAACCGTTACTCGAAACTGAATTTTTAGTCAAAGTTCAACTTTGGCCACTCCACAGGGGTGGATGCACTATTGCCCTTGGAACGAGTAGTTGCGCTGAAAAGCAAATCTGGACCTCATACTTGACCATAAATCTAATTTATGCCAACCAATCCCATTAACCTTTAACCTGTTTGTCGCATATCTGTAATCTTACCTAAAAATAACCAGATATCCCTTCTAATATCATTACACTTTAATTCAATATTCGTGGATATAATGTTATATATGTTACGTTGCTTTGACTGAGAGTTGCATTTTCATTGCTGCGTTTGCGCCTGTCGGGTGTCTAAACTTTCATGTCGCCAGTGTTTGATTTTCGTATCTTTACGAATATGCATCCTGTTTCCCATGTGTCTTTTCGTTGGAAAATGTTTAGGCGGCTATATATGTAGTCAACATAAGTTTTCTAGTGTTAATCTTCTGTTATTGCTTACAGTTTTAAAATAAAGAGTAATTATTAATATACCCTCACTAGTTTTTATGTATGTTGTCTGGATAAGTAACCAAAATTTGCTTTTGCAGAAGGTATCGTGTTAGGCAGAATGCAATCCCTGTATTTATGAAATAGTATAACAACTTTTTTTCCCGTGCATTTTGCTATTATATCCGAATTCTTGTGTATTTATCATTTCTCGTGAATTTATTCACTTGTGTGGTTCAGGTTTAGTTATTATTTCTCTACACATTTATCTTCCCTTGTTTTGCTTGTTATTCCACTGTTGGTATCACATATTTTGATAGGCTGCTCTGTTGTGTGCCTTAAGAAATATGTGGACATTTAAAAAAATAAATACTTTCACAATAATGCCTTTTGCGATAATCTAGTTCACCTGCTTTTCGTATATATTATTTGTTTCTGTTTCGTCAAAATTGTATTTTGTAGTATTTTAGGTGCATTTCCTTTAGTTTATAGATGTCAGTGAATTCCACTCAAATCCAGCACATTGAAGAGTTATTAGATCGTCTCTTTCGCGGTATTTTGTCCGCTAAATTGGAAGATCTTAAAGTTCTTTCAGTAAGTTCATGTTTCGGTTTATCTGTTTTTGTAGAGTGCAATACCAATTGTGGGAAAAATAAACTTTGCCGACTCGAAAATTACTCACGGCGAAGCACTTTATTTGTTCTGTCGTCTTGAACGTGATTACTCATCCTTGCAAATATTTCCAAACAAATCTTTATTTTCCCGAAAAGATGTGAGTACTTTTTCCACAATACAAATTTCATATAACAGGATTGTCTAACGTCGTACAATTCGCTGCGAAATGGATTCGATAGTGTTTGTAACATTCCTAATTCACTAAATATTGAGTATGAATTTGCTGTTCATATGCAGACGCTCACTGCCGCTCGAGGTCAGTTAGTAACACTGTATCCTTTATGATTACTAGTCTTTTTTTCCTATCATAAACAGTTTCATCTTGGTAAGTAAATAGGTCTATTCGCCTTCTTTTCTATACATATAAAAGAATAATTTCACTTTTTTAAAAACCTTCTTTGAAGTGATTTCCTGAACCAAATGGGGTAATTTGTTTGATATGCTTAGGGAGCGGAAGTGCGCAAATAGTCTCAATATTGAGCCTCCATTCCACAAATATTGATTGGCTAAAACGATTTACGATTTCTGTTAGTATCCGCATTTAAACGCTTCCCATTATTTTGAGTATGTTTCAATAGTTTTTAGTTCTTGAATAGTTTATATATTCCGTTCATTTTTGATCATCAAAATGTATAGTTATACATGTTTTACATGTCAGTATCAGTGAAGACTACTGTTTTCACCAAATTCTCTTCAGTTTTCTAAAGTCATGAAACCAAGGTCTATATCATTATAATAGTCATTTATATAGGGCGACTACTTTTAAAGGTAGTATCTGATTTTGAATTTCAAGTTAAAATTGAGCCTGGTTTTAATCTTAGATAATTAATATTTTTGTGTAAGATGTGATAACTTCTATACGACCGTGAAAGCAGCAATGATACAGTCATAAAAGATTCATAAAATGTAGGGAAAAATCAGTAACTTAGTTCAAGGTTGTGATGCATTTAGTAATAGGATAGTACAGAAAATTATAGGGATTGATTGGAAGTTAGTATGAATTCAATAAATGGTAAAACAAGTGCAGGTGAGTTCTCAAGAAACATAGTTGCTAAATTAAATAGGTTGATACCTTTTATAAATTTGGATAGTGTTATTGGAAGACGGAGATCATCTGCAAAATGTGATGTATTTGCGTTATACATTTCGAACAGTCTGATCATGCATTTACTTGTCAAGTTGATACATATGAAAAAATTAGGAGTATTTAAATTACACAAAGAGACAAAAAGGATTTAAGAATAATTAACACAGCGTTTGGTAATCCAATCAAATAAGAATGGCCAAGGTAGTTAAGAGTTACAATAAACCCGTTTTTGAGCACACAGGGAGGGGGGGCTTAAGTTTATGAATAGCTATGGCCTCAACGTATTTCAATAAGCACTCTTGACCATTTTTATAGATGTGTTAACATCCATCTTATGGTTCATCTCGATTAGATATTTGGCTCTAGACGAAGTTGATAGTCTGATACCTGCGTCTATTGATTTTCCACAATTCTCTTGTCTTTCTAACCATTTCGGGATATGCTCTCCCACCCTCACATACAGAGCACGATTACTGCTCCCTATGTGTGTATGTCCACACACACACACGAAAATTGGTAAATAGTGTGGGATGTGACATATTCACTTGTGCATTTTTGAGATTTTCAGTGAAGTATATTTTTGGCTTTTTCGATAATTACAATTCCAGCTGCATGATAGGTCTTCTGGATGACCGAATTTAACCTTTGTCTCAAAATCCTACTGTTTATTTCACCGTTCTATGGTAATTTAATGAAAAAATTTTTTCTTAGGGGCAGCATAGATTGTAGGTTTAAAGACTATCTGTCTTCTACACCTGTTTAAAATTTTAGAGGATATCCGTTTTCGACAAGAGTATCCATCAATATTTCATTTTCTTTCACTATAGCATCAGCCATACAAATTCGCTGAATCCTCTTAAACAGACACTTCACCAGGCCTCTCTTATATAGTAATGGATAGAAGCTGTGAAAATTAAGGTATTGCCCTGTCCAAGTGGGCTTTCTGTAGATAGACCGTCTTATTGAGCCATCATCTCTTCGACTCAGAAGTATGTCTAAAAATGCGAGCTGGTTGCGACTTTCTTCCTCGCATGTAAGACTAATATGATTCTGTACAGAGTTAAGTCTGTCCAATAGACGACTCGCATCTTCATGATCGTCACATATCAAAATGATATCATCTGCATATCTCCTATAGAAGGGCAATTTAGAAATTAAATCAAGGAACAAGTTTTCAACATAAGACATGTAAACGTCCGCTAACAAAGGTCCTAATGGACTCCCCATAGCAACACCATCCACTTGTCGAAAATGTTCACCTTCAAATATAAAATGGACGTTGTCAGTACATATGGTGTTAAATCTTTCAAATAGGTTGAAGGAAAAGGGAACAAAAAACAACTAGAAAATATATAGTCGCAAAGAATATCAACGTTCTTAATCAGTGGTACATTAGTAAACAAAGAATTAACATCAAAAGAATACATTTTCCTATCTTTTGTATTCATATCTACAAGACAGTCCCCTAGTTCAAATATATCTTTCAAAGTAAACCTACATAATTCGTTGCGAATTGGCCTTATCATTCATCGAATTCATTCAAAATAGATAGAACAACACCTGGAACCATTAGGGAGTCTGTACCTAATCTTTGTATGAAACTTCTGAATTTTTTAGATCTGCGACTTCGATTGTTCCAAACGGATTTATGTGTCGAAGTCTGTTCTATATTCGTCTTTTTGTTTTCTCTACTCGGGGAATTGCCTGTGTGCGAAAGTGGAATACTGCTGTTCCCAGGGAAAAGAACCTGCTTCAAAACAATTAAATGTGGGCGTTTTCTTTTGCTTGTTTCCTTATGCGCTTCATTGTTTGTGTTTTTGTAAGGTGAGGCCCTTGGTTGCTACTTTTTTGGCATAATGCCTGGACGGACGTCTCTTTAATTGTCTTGCGTTCCTATTTTCGTCAACTTAAGAATTCACAGAACTACAACTAGTTCCAGGGACTGGACTGAGGTTGTGTTGTTCCCTTCCATCCATATCACTTCTTCACGTACCAAGGAATGGTGTCAAACGCGTTTAGTAGACGCCCAACCGTCTCGTGGCGTGAAAGCACTCCGTCTTCCCGTATTCTCTTGACAAATGAACTCATATTTCACGTCTGTTATAAACGCAAGAATTCAAATTTCTGTTTTGGAACAAGTAATGTCCCGTTCCATATTAGTTTATTTATTAGATATATCACACAGTGAAACAGTATTATTTATTGGATGACGTTTCGAACAAAATTTATTGTTCATAATCATATCAGTTGTAATCACACGACTTTGACACTTGAGTTTCATAGTTTTCTTTGTTTTCTCCTATTTGTCGTATGGGTAGTAGAATTTTCCAGATATCGGGGAGAGGTGTTGAATCATTCCTATTACATGTATTTGTAGTTGATTCGATAAACAAAGCTTCTGTTATCAATCTCTCCCTATACCCTGTGACATCAGATTTTAAAACTGTCATCCTATCCCATCATTCTATTGTATGGTTGTGTGTAACTGCATGTAGTGCTATAGCTGAACTATTCTCTATATTTCTTATCTTATTCGGGTCAACCAATCTAGATTTCGCTAGGTTTTTATGTTCAGCCAGTCTGACTGCCCCTGTTCTACTAGTTTGACCAATATATTGGACCTGACAATCATTGCAGGGTATGAGATAAACTAAATTGTTTTGTTTTAAAGGCTCTACAGGGTCCTTTAACCGACAAAGCTTGTTTCTAATTGAGTTTGTGGGTTTGAATGCCAACCACTCTTCTTCCTGCCTTGTTAAGAATTCTGCGTAAAGTTTCCGAGGTTCCTTCCTTGTATGGAATTACTACTGATGATTTAGATTCCTTATTACTGGTGTCGTCATTAATATTATGATTATTATTGTCACTATTATTATCATCACTATCGCTACTATCATTATTTATTTAATTTTTACATTTCCTTACATATTTCTTGACTAATTTATCCGGGTAATTATTAAGTTTCAAAGCTTCTTTTTTGTGTATCAGTTCCTGTTTTAGATTTTCCTTTGTACTACTTAGTTTTTGTGCTCTGTCATTTAAACATTTCACCAATCCTATTTTTACTGACATAGGATGGGATGATTGGAAGTCCAAATATCTGTTTGAGTGTGTGGGTTTCCTGTAAACACTAGTGTTTAACTTCCCATCTTCTTTCCTCTTTACGTTGCAATCTAACATTGGGAGCTCCCCTTCCTGATTTTTCAATTCATAAGTGAATTGAATTGCTTCAACCTTCGAGTTGATATGTTCGAAAAACCTATCTATATCTTGTGTTTTAAGTACAGTGAATGTGTCATCTACATACCTCCACCATACTTTTGGGGTGGGGGTGAACGTTTCAATCGCTATGCTTTCCCACTTATCCATGAATATATCTGCTACAACTGGGGGTATTGGTGATCCCATGGCAACTCCTTCAGTTTGTTTGTATATTTTCCCTTTAAATTTAAATACAGTGGAAGTCAGGCATAGCTGTACTCCCAGCATTATGTCTTCAAGTGGCACTTTTGTCCTAAGTTCGAGTTCTTGGTCAGAAATGTATTTATTATTTATTTAAGCGCAGAAAAAAACTTGGTACAGTATGGCACCAAGAAAGATGCGCCACACTTGTGTGAGGGCTGAGATACCGCTCGGGCGCCCAGACCGAAGCAGGTGGTTTTCTTAAGGGACCATCCCCGAGCCTTTGACTTGGAGTCTAATCCGCGAGGCAGCGGACGCCGGTGACCCATATGGGTTCATACGCCATTTGATCCGATTGAATTCTGGAGCCCATGTACCCCATGGTAACTGCTTTTAGTCTAACCGCTATCCAAACAACCTTCCTGACATGGTAGGACCTGCAGGGACATGAGTCCCAGCCAGTTTAGCTTGTTGGGTCACTGCGGCATTCAAGCCCGACCACCACGGCAAGGTAGCAGTTGTCGGCCGGGACGGTCAGAAATGAGTTCGTTTCTGACTGCCTCCATAGGCATATTTATTGGTATACGTGTGTATAAACTGACAATGTCAAAACTAACCATTTTTTCTTCGTTATCTAATTTTAAATTATCTAATCTATGTTTTAGTTCATAAGAATTTGTTAGTCTAGATTTTGAGTGTCTTTTAAGGGGGATTTAATACCATGGCTAAATATTTAGATAATTCATAAGTAGGTGAATTTCTAAAATCAACTATAGGCCTAAT